ATCCGCAAATTACGTCAGGCGGTGAAAGCGACATTCCTACTCTATCCTTGGTGATACTCGAATATCGAGACACGTCCATAGAGTAATAACAAAAACACGTCTGTCAACGGTCAACGATGTCACACACACACTCTCACAACACATTCTCCACAACTACGAATAAGTTTACTCAGCCTTCTTTAAAACTGTGTATTTGATTAAAGTATTTTAATAAAGTGTGTACTAATAAGTTTACATCATATTAATTGATAACCCAAACCGTTAGTACCACAGATTTTGCAAATGTCAAGATGTCAAGTGTCAACCATCAACTTGGACACTACATCTTGGCGTTGCCAATTTTTGTCACTCAAATATGTTGATTATATTATTTTGATGGACAAAAGAAGACTACAAAAAAGTATATATTTAGGAACTATTTTACGTATTATTTTTTACCCTTTTGTAGCAGTTTTTTTTTCTTCTTTGATTATAATCCAAATAAGTATTACACTTGGCAACTGTGCTAAAATGTATCCCGTAATAGCGTACCGTTTATTTGAACCTAAATAGCGGCAAACGCTATATATCCACTAATAGTGTAATCCATTATTTTTGTATCAATGCCCATGCTCTAAATAACGGATAACGTATAAAGCTGATCGAATAAGGCCTTAAAAAGTCTCTATTGACTCGCGCATATCGTAACCATGATAACGTACGCGTAAATACTGCATGACGCTATTCGGTTTTCCGATATCTCTCTAATAACTGTGCCGGTCAGGCGCTGTGCAAAATTTTAGAGGCCATAAGTGGGCGTGCTATGTGCGCAAACTAGTAACCTAACTAGTGCACAATTCCGAAAATTGGAACCATGAAAAACAATAAAGAAAAAACAAAGTTTATAATCTGTATAATCTGTGTTAAAACTAGAAGAATTTCGGACTTCCATTGTTTTTATTTATTTTGTTTACACAACGTTTCGTTCAGAAGTATCACTGAAATGACTGAAAACTGAGTTGAGAAAAAAACTGAGTTCTCTCGATAGTTCACACTTGATAACGGTCAGTGATACTTCTGACGGAAACGTTGTGTAAGCAAAATAAATAAAAACAATGGAAGTTCGAAATTCTTTTAGTTTTAATTTGGTTTGGTCTGCGATTGATTTTTCTCTCTGATATTATTTATTTATAGAGAAGGTATTATTTTTCTAGGGCCACGATCATAAAATACCAGGTGTTTCTCCAGAGTAGTTCACCTCTATAACTTTTTTATATATCTATGAGCAATGGTTCTCGAGATATTTGGAATCGAAATTATCAATATCTATCATCATTGACATAAATTAAACATATTGACTAAATAGTTATTAGACTGAAATCATAAATTTGAAATGTTTTTTGTGTCAAAAGTTCAATAGAAATCGTTTTATCATCATTTTTTTCGCAGAAAAATCTATGATTAATTTGAAAATATAAAAAGTTCCCAAATTTATTATTTCAGTCAAATAACTATCTTCTCAACGTGTTTATTTTTTGTCAATATGACATGGTATTGACTATTTCCATTCTAAATATCTTGAGAACGGTTACTTATAGCGATTTTTACCAAGAAACATTTTCTACGTAAAAAGTCACGGAAATTATATTTAATATTTTTTCACTCGATAGTTTTATACAGGTACGGGCGAAAAATTATGACTTCAAAAGAGTTAAAACACATGTAGGTAACGCCCTCTACAAATAGGAGTCGTGTTGACATCAAAATCAAATTTCTCATGTCAAAAAACTCCCAGATACCAATTTTCATCCAAATATTGACGTTACTTCAGAGATTATTTGGAAAAAATCGAAATAAAAATTAAATTTTTACACTCTGTATCTCCGAAACTAAGAATTTTAGGATATACATTTATACGAACTTTTTTACTTATTTTATCTGCTGCCGAAGTTTCCGGAATACAGTTCGGACGATGGTCCGTATATTTTTTTCTCAATGGTTTTTAATAAGTTACGCTACTGAGGTTTATTGTTACGCCACTGGTGTACAGCACCGGCGAAAAGAGCAAACAGAAACCTTCTGCCAGGTTGAGGCTAGTTTTTTTATTGTCCGGTGTTTGTCTAACGTTGCGTAATTGGTCATTGAAAGGAGAAAATAAAGTTTGTCGACCTTTGTGGCGTGTTGTTCTTCAAAAAACCGCTTTTTATAAACTGCACCCATCGCTGGTCAGTCAGTTTTCCACGCAACACTAGACATTTTCATCTAAATATAGAAGAGATAGGATATTATAAAGACACGAAGATATAGAAGATTGAACTAAGTTATAGCGATTATACCCATTTACAATTAGTACTAAAATTTTACAGCAATTTTGGTCAATCTAATGTTTGTATTTCGATGTGATTTTATTACAAAATAAAAAAAATTGTGTGTGCACCATGTGCGCATATTTGAAGTGAAGCTATTAAATTGAAGGCTTTGAAGGATATACAGGGTGAGTTTTCTACGATGTTCTTTATGGGTATCTCGGAAACTTTTGGAGATAGAGAGTCGGTTAAATGGAGAAAGAATTTTTGTGGGGTCATAAATATGCGCCTTTTAGATTTTTGAAAAAGTTCATGGCTTACTAGATATTTCGAAAAAATCAAATTTTGGCTACTTTAAAAATGGTCCCTGATTCCATTGCAATACATTTTAAACAAAAAGTTTTCAGATACAAGTTGTAGATAATCACATTCTTATTTTCTAAAGCATGAAATTTTTTACATATGGCACAAACTTATGTTTTTTTAAATGGAAACCATAGTTGGCCATGACTTCATAAAAAGCGCCATTTTTATTATAATATGGGTTTTTCTAAAAATTGCGTTATAGCCAATTCTTATCATTTTTAAACAACTTCACTTAGTTAGCCATGGAAACAAGTTCAATCGTCTTTGCTCTCAGAAATTTCAAACTGTCACATCCAAACTTTGTAAATTAAAACAACAAAAAATTGTAAATATGAGTTTTTCAAATGAAGAAAAGCGTGTAGGATTATTGGTTCAACTTTTCTTGGCCATACATTTTCGAGGATACGTTACATACGCTTTTTAGAGAACGGTTTTCAAGACATGTTGGAAAAGTTAAAAATGTGGTCAATAAAATTAAATGAATAGAGCGGTTCCAACATGACTCATTGTGAAACTCCCCCCCCCCTAATGAAAGAAATGTTAAAAATTATTTATATCATACTTATTCAAACTCAGGGATAGGAACAGTTGGACCAATTACATAGGCCTCCTCGTTCACCAGATCTATCTATTTTAGATTTTATGCAGTATATTTTTTGAACATTTTCTAAAAGAACTTAAAACTGTATGTAGAGATACTATTTTTTAAGTTTTAGTTTGTGTAATAATGTAAAATTTTAAAGAACCGTTTAATAAAATATTCTGTCTTTTTATAAGTTATAAATTATAATAATTAAATAAATAGCAGAATAAGAATACCATACCAACTAAGTGAAATTAGTCAAGAAAGAAAATAATTGGCTATAACTGTCATTTTTCGAAAAAAAAACATTATAGCTTATATCCCTCAAATGCTTAAAAAATGGCGCTTTTTATGAAGTCATGGCCAACTATGGTTTCCAAACCAAACATAAGTTTGTGTCATATGTCAAAAATGACAGGCTTTAGAAAAAAACGGCGAACTCAGTCACATTTAAGGTGCGATTATCTACAACTTTTATCTGAAAACTTTTTGTCTAAAATAGATTATAATGGAATTAGGGACCATTTTTAAAATTGCCGAAATTTGTTTTTTTTCGAAATATCAAGTAAGCCATGAACTCTTTCAAAAATCTGAAAGGTGCATATTTATGACCCCACAAAACTGCAATTCTTTCCCCATTTAACCGTCTCTCTATCCCCAGTAGTTTCCGAGATACCCATAGAGAACATCGTAGAAACTCACCCTGTATATTTTTTATGAATGCTTTTTATAAACTTCAAAAAATTAGAGTTAACATAAATCCGTATACTATTCTAGCCTTATAATTTTATAATGTTTTTTTTTAATTTTTATTAAAAAACCATAATTCTATCAACCGGCCTGATAGCCCTGGCGGTTGTGGCCATTAAACCAAAATACTACTACATATATATCTCTGACTACTACGCTACTACTAACTGCTATACAACAATTTGTTTTGTGCGGTCTGTGGTCCGTTTTTGTTTAAATTTTTTTTTCATTATTCATAGTAGGGATTTATTTTTAAATTAATGTTAATCGTTAGGCGACCAGTAAACTCATAGAATTTGTATTCCTTTTGCATAATCAAAATTTTACATAAACAAATTGTCACTCTAAATCGCTGTCTTTTTTAGACAGATGTCACTTGTCTTGTCATTATTCAATTCATTATTCGAATTCTCAGAATGTTGTTAACAAAAGTTTCTTTCATCTTAAAATAAAATTTTAATCAATCGCAATTGTTTATCTCCATCATTTACCGGATTAATAATACAGAAATTACAGCTCAATTACAAACAATTTATTATTTATAATGATTTATAGTAATTTTATTAAATTATACGAATGTTCTCGTTGATTATTGGTTTGAAATAAATATGACAATGTCCTCCAATGAAAATGCGAGTTACTAACTCTAAATTCTAATTCTGAACTGGCAAATGAGCTAGATGCTAATCTACTTCCTAGCACACAATCAGACCATTGGTACACATCAAGGTTGGTATAGTATGTGTTGCCACAAGCTTAATTAATGATTTCGAGTCCCGGTCCTTTGATGTCTTAAAAGAACCGGGATTTCCCCGTTCTGAACCCTAGTATCATGTAGTTAAAACATTTGTTATAACTCGCTGATAGTATTTCCGCCAAATGCAATAATGGAAATTGTTCTATATTTTGGTTTCTAGTTGAACTATCTCAGAATTCCCATTACTCTAGATACTTTTAAACAAATAGATAGTAAGATTTGAAAGTGGTGGACTTTAAATATTTCATTTTTGTTTCAGATTGTGACGCCGAACCTGACTGCCTTCGCTGCGGCCTGAAAGGCTGCATCAAGTGCCCCAATCTCATCGTCTACCCCACCAGAAAGTGCGTAGAAGCCTGCCCCTTCGGCTACGAGTCCTCTTGGAGCAGCAAACCCGACTTTATGGGCCTAGTCTGCAGCCACAACGGCAATTTCCTCGGCATGTCCGCCTACAGTCTCACCGTCTTCGTCGGAATCGTATCCGGTTTCCTATTATCATTCATCGCCTTGTCCATCGCTGTCTTTTACGTGAAGTACCGCAGAAAAAACTTCCCTCAAATCAGCGATACTACCTCTGAAACAGACGATACACCTGAGAAGAGGGATTTCCTCAAGCAGCTGGAGACTTTGAGGCCCTACGCCCAGAGCTACTTGGACATGCTGAACGACACTAGGCTGCAAATCAGACAGTTGCATCAAGACGGAGATAGCAGTGCTATTTCCGCTTACAAACCTGTAGTGCGGGACTTGGCAAAAATATTACTTCTTCTAAACAGAAACGTAGATAGCATATACATGCCTGACGATTGGGAACATTTGTTCAGTTGGGCAGAAAAAGCATTGAAACGTTACAAACGTATGAGCGACACCTCACAGCCTCAAGTCGCTCAATTGATCGACTTTTTCCAATCCTCGAGCGATCCAGAAGAGCCAGAATACTCAGTGAGGGGTAGTACGACAATGAGTACATTCAAACCATTCGGATCGTCGCCCAGTTTACAGAATGTCAGTGGGAAGACTATCAATGGAGACTTTGAGAGTTACCAGACACCGCTGAATCCTGAGTGGAAGTTTGAGTATTCACCAATAGGGAACTCATCTGAATTTGATCCAGTAGCTTGGAAAAGCAGCAGAGACTTTTTGGGTGGACCATTGTTTCTGGAAGATGATTTTTACCAGCTGGGTCTCAGGCCGCAGGATGAGATTACCACCGAATTGTGACAAAAGACTTTTGAAATAGAGAATATTCTGTTAAGTGTAAAATTGGCTTTAAAGTGGTAATACAAGAAGAAAGGCCGTGACTTTATGTGAGTACAGACCGAAATTAGAAATGTTAAAAGATATACTCCCAACATATTTTCCAGTATATTACAAAAACCTAATTCGTGTTGCCAATATTCCAGGTAACAAATATTTTGACAAAACAACTGGAGACTTAAAGGTTTACGTGAAGAATGATAAAATATTACAGAAAATCAAATCTTTTAATGTAAGAGAAGTGGCATCAGTACTACTTTTAAAACAATAGTACAAGTTTTGGTAAAAATATTGTTTCCTTTCCAATAATTCTGTTGTTAGAATAAGTCTTCTTATCCCCCATCGCCTTGTCTATCACTGTCATTTAATGTTAAGTGTCGCAGGAAAAACTTCCCTCAGATCACTGATACGACCTCTGAAACAGATGGTACACCAGAGAAGCGGAATTTCTTCAAACAATTGGAGATTTTGAGGTCCTAGGCCCAGAGCTACTTGGACATGCTGAACGACACTAGACTGCAAATGAGACAGTTGCATCAAGACGGAGATAGCAGTGCTATTTCCGCTTACGAACCGGTAGTACGGGACTTGGCAAAGATATTACTTCTTCTAAACAGAAACATAGATAGTATATACATGCCTGATGATTGGGAACATTTATTTAGTTGGGCAGAAAAAGCACTGAAGCGTTACAAACGTATGAGCGACACTTCACAACCCGAAGTCGCTCAGTTGATCGACTTTTTCCAGTCCTCGAGCGATCCAGAAGAGCCAGAATACTCAGTGAGAGGTAGTACTACAATGAGTACATTCAAACCGTTCGGATCGTCGCCCAGTTTACAGAATGTCAGTGGGAAGACTATCAATGGAGACTCTGAGAGTTACCAGACACCGCTGAATCCTGAGTGGAAGTTTGAGTATTTACCAATAGGGAACTCATCTGAATTTGATCCAGTAGCTTGGAAAAGCAGCAGAGACTTTTTGTGTGGACCATTGTTTTTGGAAGATTTTTAAAATAGAGAATATACTGTTAAGTGTAAAATTGGCTTCAAAGTGGTAATACAAGAAGAAAGGCCGTGACTCTGTGTGAGTGCAGACCAAAATTGGAAATGATAAAAGATATCCTCCTATCATATTTTCCAGTGTATTACAAAAACCTAATTCGTGCTGCCAATATTCCAGGTAACAAATATTTTGACAAAACAACTGGAAACTTAAAGATTTACGTGAAGAATGATAAAATATTACAGAAAATCAAATCTTTTAATGTAAGAGAAGTGGCTCAGTACTGCTTTTAAAACAATAGTACAAGTTTTGGTAAGAATATTGTTTCTTTTCCAATAATTCTGTTGTTAGAATAAGTCTTCTTATCCCCCATCGCCTTGTCTATCGCTGTCATTTAATGTTAAGTGTCGCAGGAAAAACTTCCCTCAGATCACTGATACCACCTCTGAAACAGATGCGCTGGAATCCAGAAGAGCCAGAATACTCAGTGAGGGGTAGTACGACAATGAGTACATTCAAACCATTCGGATCGTCGCCCAGTTTACAGAATGTCAGTGGGAAGACTATCAATGGAGACTTTGAGAGTTACCAGACACCGCTGAATCCTGAGTGGAAGTTTGAGTATTCACCAATAGGGAACTCATCTGAATTTGATCCAGTAGCTTGGAAAAGCAGCAGAGACTTTTTGGGTGGACCATTGTTTCTGGAAGATGATTTTTACCAGCTGGGTCTCAGGCCGCAGGATGAGATTACCACCGAATTGTGACAAAAGACTTTTGAAATAGAGAATAGCCAGTGGTAATACAAGAAGAAAGGCCGTGACTCTGTGTGAGTGCAGACCGAAATTGGAAATGATAAAAGATATCCTCCTATCATATTTTCCAGTGTATTACAAAAACCTAATTCGTGTTGCCAATATTCCAGGTAACAAATATTTTGACAAAACAACTGTAAACTTAAAGATTTACGTGAAGAATGATAAAATATTACAGAAAATCAAATCTTTTAATGTAAGAGAAGTGGCATCAGTACTACTTTTAAAACAATAGTACAAGTTTTGGTAAAAATATTGTTTCTTTTCCAATAATTCTGTTGTTAGAATAAGTCTTCTTATCACCCATCGCCTTGTCTATCGCTGTCATTTAATGTTAAGTGTCGCAGGCAAAACTTCCCCCGGATCACTGATACCGCTTTTGAAACAGATGATAACACCAGAGAAGCGGAATTTCCCCAAACAGTTGGAGACTTTGAGACCCTACCCCCAGAGCTACTTGGACATGGTGAACAAAGCTAGACTGCAAATCTGACAGTTGCATCAAGACGGTGATACAAGTGCTATTTCCACTTACAAACTGGTGGTAAGGGACTTAGCAAGAATCTTACTTCTTCTTAACAGACACATACATATATAGCGTATATATGCCTCATGATAGGGAACATTTATTTTGTTGGGCAGAAAAAGCACTGAAGCGCTACAAGCGTATGAGCGACACATCATAACCCCAAGTCGCTCAATTGATCGACTTTTTCCAGTCCTCGAGCAATCTAGAAGAGCCAGAATACTCAGTGAGAGGTAGTACTAGAATGAGTAACTCATCAGAATTCGATCATGTAGCTTGGAAAAGCAGCAGAATTTTTTTGAGAGGGCTATTGTTTTTGAAAGATAATTTTCATCGACTGGGTCTAAGGCCTAAGGCCGCGGAATGAGATTACCAACGAATTGTGACAAAAGACTTTTGTAAGAGGAAATATACTGTTAAGTTTCACATAAACACCATTAATATGAGGATAAAAATTGAAATTTTAGATGTTATTACATACCACAAAAATAAGAAATGTAAACAGATATTTCCCTACTATGTTTTGAAGTATATTATAACATCTGGCTTCATGAAAACAAAAATTTTCCTCAAAAAATAATTAAGGATTTTCCTAACCATACATTAAACTAATGCTTGAACATTTTGACGTATTTCTTGCAAACCAAACCATCAGAAGCAATCATTACTGTCATCAGTAAACGATTAAACTGAAGTGACTTAGGTCATCTGCATTCAGAGTTACAAATCGTTTCAGTATAGTGTATTAATTTTTGTAAGTTTATGGAAATTCTTAAAGCCTTTGGTGTTAAAAGGCTTTAAGAATATCCAAACAAAAATTAAATATATACAAATTTATATGTTTTGTATAAAAAATTGTAAATCAAAATTTATTTAAGACTTTCAAGTACTAAATACACTGTTTTGAAAATATTTGGATCAAATTCGTAAATGAGAATCTCTTTAACACCATATGGCGTAAAAAACGCTACCAATATGCTATGAGTACGCACATCAGCTGTTTTAGACATATTGTGTATATACTAGAAATTTATATTCTTTTCGCAGTATACTTCTAAATATTCGACAAACAGAAAAGAAGCACTCAACCAATACTAACATTAATTACGCTGGAAAATAATATTTGCCTTTAGGGACCCCATAAAATTAGATATCTGTATTTGTTTGCTTGGTTATTAGCATATTTTATGCGGCAGGAACATATAACTGTGAACGAGCCTTTAAAACATCTTATATATGTGTATACAAGGTGTTCCTGGCTGATCTTCCATTAGAAATTAGTAGAAATCTACGGATCGGATATTTTTTTATCAAAAATAACATTATATCAAAATCTATACTGCGTGGTTTGTAAAATATTACCATTTCTAGACTAAATTTAAAATGTCTAGACCTGGTTGTACTCAGCCTTTATCAGAACTCACCAGCTGACTTTGGTAAATCTCTTAAAAAAATATTCATTGGTGTTCTCTTCTGTACAGGGTGCCGCCTCTCATACGCCGCAGAGGCTCCAAGGAGAATGACAGTTTGTATTGAAATGAAATTTTCTGAGCATATGTAGGTTAATGCAGAACACTTTTTAAAAATATAGAGAGTTCTACAGGGTGTCCCCAAAGAAGTTATGTACATATCAAAGTTGTGTTTTTTGTAATGGAACACCCTATATATTAATTGATTTTCAGATTCTAGGAGAAAAATAAAGATGAGTTTTATAAGAGATGTATGTGACTAAATGTAAGGTTTTTGACATAGGTATTTAACATTCTCTAGAAATAAAGAACAATTTTTAAATTACAATAAAAGCTACCTAAATTGGAATTTACCCGGTATATATGTAGTTAAATTAACTATTGTACTTTAAATCAAATTAAAACTTGGTCCAAAAAGTTTGGTGTGTACAGGGTGAGACAGAATTAATATTAAACATTGGTCACCTTTAAAAGCATGTTACTCTTTTATTTTAAATGGAACACCCAGTATATTATTCCGATATTCAATAGAGAATTCATGTCTCTTCAAAATACTATTGAGGTTGCCTACCCTTCAAACAAAGATATTTTCATTTACATGATTTGAACTGAGCCATAATCTGAGCAGAGCTTTATTATTTGATAAAATCTAGGTGGCTGGTGATATGTCTGACGTTACAGTTGTCTAATTAGTCCAACTTTAACAACCATTCTATGTCAGTTAAAACAAAAAAAATTCTCAGAAATTTGCGAAAGCAAACTTATCCTACATCAGAGAGAACTGATATGATTCTATTGAACGTTGAGTATGTACCAACGTTGTATGTACCAGTGTGTATTCACCAACGTTGAGTATTTTACTCTACAATCATTAATTTTTGTTAATTTAAAAAAAAGATATATCACACAGCCATCTAGATTTTTTCAAATAATAAAAATCTATTGACGCAAAATCATAAAAATTAAAATATCTAGGAAAACCTTTATCTGAGGTGTAGGCAACCTTAATAATATTTTGAAGATATGTAAATTCCCCATTGAACACCGGAAAAATATACTGGGTGTTCCATATTAATTTTCTCTCACCCTGTATAATTTTTTGGGTCAAATTTCAATTTGGTTTAACATACAATGGTTACAATAATTAAATATCAGACTATACAAGGTCAACTAAAATTTAGGCAGCTGTTTCAGCCTAACCTAACCTAATCAAAATCCTTAGATTTTAGGTAGATGCTTCTTTAATAAAACTCACCTTTATTTTTTTCCTATAATCCGAAAATCAGTTAATATATAGGGTGTTCCATTAGAAAAAACACAACTTTAATGTGTAACTTTTTTTGGAGACACCTGTATGATTCCATATATTTTTATAAAATGCTTTCAGTTAACCTACATATGCTGCCAAAATTTCATTTCGACATAAACTACCGTTCTCCTTGAAGTATGAGAGGCGCCACCCTGTATAGAGTTTCCCCACCCAATTACAATATCGAACCATTCATACAATTATTTATCGAAGCATGTATACAACTATTGTTTTATTATTATTATTATTAAGTTCTACGTAAAGAAATAATGAAGAAGAACTGTTTAGTTTTATTATTGTGTTGTTAATTAGTACCGTAATAAACCACATTTTTCGAGTTCCTTTCTGCTCGTATCGTATCAAACAGGTTACCATATACTGCAATCTCCTTAACTAAAAGTTAGAAGAATGGCATATAAAAAGGATAGGAAGCACAAAATGAATATTCCTGATGCACAATATGTTTCTTAACAGGCGCCATTATATTTTTATTGTTCTAACCTTTCCTAATCTAATGTTCTAACCGTTACAAGCGTTTACAGAACGATTCAATAAATATGGACGAGCATTTATAAGAAAGAAAATGTATATTACACTTTCAACTTAATAATAATGTATATTTATTTTTATCTAAAATTATATTTATATTAAGCTGATTTATACAAATATAATTAAATATTTTGAGGAGAAAATCTCAGCCGATTTCTAAAGGAACAGATCGTAACATGTTGAAATTCTGTCTCAACTTGACACACGTAATATATCATGTTGAGATTCAATCTTATTCCTAACACAAAGACTCAAACTCAACATATTATTGCCAAAACTATGCTGTGTCATGTTGATATTCAGTATCAGTCACGAGTCACGATTAAATCTCAACATGACGCATAAAAAATTACACGCGTCATGTTGAGATGTAATCTCAACTTCGAGCTAAAAATAGGGCAGTCTTAAGCCATATGGTATCATGATTTAGACAGTTTCATTTATGTTTATGCTCTCAGCTGGTATCTATAGAAATAGATTATGACAAGTGGAGATACAATCTCAACTTGATACTGTCCAAAAATATTTATTATGTTCAGATTCGATCTCACTAACGTCAAAAATTATAATCTATATCATGTTGGGGTCTCAATATGACACTTGCTAAAATTACTTGCGTCATGTGAGATATAAGCTCAGTAATAGTAAGCTTCAAGCTCAACATGGGACAATCTCAAACCATGTGGTATTATGTTGAGATTCAGAGAGATTCGGATGTGTTTAGACTAAATCTTAAGATAGATAAATGTGTGTGTATTTTTTATTAATATATTTATATAAAACTGAGTTATACAAATATAATTAAATATTTTGAGGAAAAAAGGAAACACTCAACCGATTCTATATAGGAACAAAATATTTTGAGATTCAATCAATTCAATATTCTATCTCAACTGTCTCATAATATGTATCTCTAAATAGTATATACAATTGTAACGATTAAATCTCGACATGACTCGTAAAAAGTTATGCGTGCCATGTTGAGATATAATCTCAGTACTAGTTTCAACCTCAACATGACTTACGCAAAGTTTCAATCTCGTCCTATGATTCAAAATTATACTGTATCATACTGATATTCAGTGTCAGTCACAATTAAATCTCAACATGACCCATTAAAAGTTATACGCCGTCATGTTGAGATAATCTCAGTAATGGTAAGCTTCAAGCTCAGCATGGGACTATTGTAGGTAATTGATGTGGTATCATGTGGAGAGTCGGAGAGTTTCAGTCATGTTTAGACATTAGTGTAGAGTAAATAAAATCGTATTAAATCAGTAACTTCTGTCTAAATCAGAAAGAAATTCTGAAATTTATAAACTTTTATAAAGATCTGAAATTGATAGTCTTTCATAAATAAAAATATTTGTAAACTTTTGTGATATGTTATATAAATGTATTTACAAAGTAAGAAAATATTTGTGGGAGAGACACCATGTATATTTAAGCAGTATTATAATTTAGATAATGTAAATTATGCACCATAGGCTATGAGAAAATGGTTTTGTTACTGTCAACCAACCTAGTCATTATCGTTGTACGTATAAAGTATATGTATATTTTTTTTGTAGTAGTTCATACGTGTAGGTAGTATTATTTATCTTTTCCAGTTGTGTTTATCTTTAAGTATCTTTCTGTACCGAACGTTTAGATTAATGTATCTAAATAATTTCGATTAAGTAAATTATGGTCAGATAGGAAATACATTTTTAAAAAAATATAGTGTTCATTAAACTGTTGATTATCATTTTATTTTTATATTAAAATAAAATGATTAATAATTCTTAAAACTTAAATTACAAATGACAGTATTTGTTACTCAACTTTAGTTACCCATATGTATTACATCTTGATTTAATATTTTATACAATATAGTTTTTTAAAAGAATCCTAAAATACAATATCTAGGCTACTGTTTAATTTATATTAGAAATAATTAGTCCAATGGATTATTAATATTAAGTCATGACTGTTAAATTAAATAATGCCTATAGGATACTTTCAGATGTTAAGTAATTTGTTTATATCGTATTTTGTACAAATCGTATTAAGGTTATTGTTAATAAAAACAACTTAGTATTTTAGTAAAATTTTGTGAATATTGTTTCAATATATATATGTAATAATTCTCAAATAAATATTTTTTGAAATCTGTTGTTATTATTTAAAAACATTATAAACTAATTATTTTTTAATATTTAATTAAGTGTGGATATAATAGTCCAGAAAATAGGCCTTCAAATACGAAGATGTGGTAAAAACTTGAATTTTTGATTTTTTGAAGTTACTTTCAAAGATCTAAAAACGAATTGTAATTTTTTTTAAGTTCAGTGTAGAGCGTCCAATTTTATATAAAATTGGCCTCTATCTTTTTTTGGCTCAAATCAAAATTAACCGAGATAGGGTGGCTAGAAGCTAGGGGACAACTTTTATTGAAACATTTTTAGTCCTTACTGGTTCTCCGAAATTTGGGAAAAAACACTTTTATATTTTTCACCCCTTCTCGGGGCGAATTTAAAAAAAATCTTAATTGATATTTATAATTTTCCAAGCAAATTTAGTAAAAATGTTAAATATACGAATTTTTCAGCAACATATTTTTTTTCTTATAGGTATTTATATTTTTTTTATTCGCCCCTTTGCAGGGGTGAATTTAAAAAAAAATCTTTCACAATTCGTTTTTAGATCTTTCAAAGTAACTCATATAAAACATTCAAGTTTTTACCAAAACTTTGTATTTAAAGGCGCATTCATACTGATTTCGTATTTCTTAGACTATCAAGTTTAAAAGAGACTAATGCCAGGTTGGATGAGAAATCGGGTCCGTAGGTTGAGTTTTCATCAAAAAATATACAGGGTGTTTCAAAACAAATGCGAAAAACTTCAGGGGGTGATTCCTTGTTCAAAATAAAGGGTAGTTTGCTTCATAAACGTTGGGTCAAAAGTCAACCATTAGGGAGATATCGCGGTACAAAGATGGCGGAAAAATAATGTTTTTATTTTTTATCTTGAAAACGAAAAGAGATAGACTAATAAAATTTTATGGAAGCATTACTGTTATGAAAACACACTTTCTGGTAATTTTTTCACTTTTTAAAATGAGTGGAAGGGGTTGAAATAAACTACCCCTATCATTCTTGTTAACGAAATTTAAAGAAAAATCTTATCAAACACATGCAAAAAAATTAATTTGGATAGTTGAGTTTGTTTAGAAACTTTTTTATCTCTTGTATTTTTTTGATAAAACTCACCGATTTGAAATTAAAAT